TCGACAAGGTTTTGTCATCTTCAGGTCATTGATGATGACAAAACCTTGTCGAAACGTTGTACATTTGCTGTTATATTAAAGTTTTTCTTCATTACCCATTCAAGCCGTCTCCAGCCATTACTTACAATGAAATATTTTAACTTCATTAAAAGCAAAATGGACTTCAGTAATTTTGAATAAAAGGTTATAACTTTTATATTGCAAATACATAGGTTTTTAACTCTGATGCAATAATAATATTAACATTTAATTCATTTTGCGGGGCGTTGGTTTGAATCCAATCACCGAAAATATTTGCCCTTCCAGCTGTAGAGACGTTATAATGTGACAGCCAATCCCACTGTTACATTAGAGTAGCCCAAGGATTGACGGTGAGTGGTGTTGAATAGCTAGTTGCCTTCTCTCTGCAAATAGTCCTCAAGTAGTTTGTGCGAAATTAGAAAATGTACATGCTGGTTTGGAGAAAAGGCACATTGGAATACCTGCTGTGTCCACCACAAGGAATCGAACCCCGGATTTTAGTGTTGTAAGTTCGTAAACTTATCGCTGTCCCATCGGGGGACGCCAGAAACACAGCTATTTCAAACAAAATATCAAATGAAAAATTGAAAATTGTAGCCACATAATGTACGGGACAATAAATAATTTTCCTTGTAAAAAGAATTCACACAAGATATAGGATAATGGCATAAACGATTTTAAAACACCTTTTAAAGAGTAAACTCAATTCTGTTTATAACTGCACCTCAAAAGATGTAATATATATTAACCAAATTGGTTGAGAGAGGCCTTGCTGTTATGTATATTTTACATGGAATATATGTAGTATCACGAGGACTTCCAGCAAAGCAGAGAAGTCTAGGCCAGCAAAAAAGGAGGTTCATGGATCTATAGGGGTATGTTCCCCGACAGGAGTGACGGTTAAACCATAACGAATGAGACAGGGCACAAATATGCACAAGGAAATAATTATTTAATGATTTGTTTGTTTTTAATTATGCACACAGCTACACAAGGGCTATCTGTGCTCTGCCCACCACGGGTATCGAAACCCGGTTTCTAGCGTTGTAAGTCCGCAGACATACCGCTGTGCCACTGGGGGCTTATTTAATGAAGATCTTCACAGTTTACAATATAAACAACAATGCACTATCATACAATACAAGGCAACACTTCAGCAATGAAGTTTATAGTCCTTATTCCTGTAGCACAGGCTAGCATATAAAAGAGAATTACTAAAAGAGAGTGTCTCGAGTTTAAATATAAAACAATAAAGTTAACCCTCACTTTAGTCTCTGTAAAATCCAAGTTCTCGCTATTTTGTGGCCAGGGACAGTTTAGCCCATCGGGACACCAGGCTGTCCGGTGCCTTTGACGCATTCTTACAATTTAATTATCTATTCAATATGTACCATGTGATATTGCCTGGACTGGTCCTTTAATGCCAATCCATCTCTGCCTATGGATCAATTTAAACACAGTTCGCTCACTAGCGAACTAAAACAATTGCTTAATCAATTTACAGGCGAAAGCCAAACGGCGCCCGCTCAAATGAAACTAGCCTTGAAGTTACAAGAGAACTTCAAAGATTCTCTAAAAGTAAAACTACTCAATTAAAGAAAACAACAACACGCAATCCTGGTACCAACAATCAAAAGTGAGGATTTTTAAGAGTTCTCGCGTAGGTTACAGAAATGCTGTTTAAGTCCAAAATGAAACTTTGTTATTATACATAAATCTCTTTGAAATTTACATAGGTGAATATCGTGAAATCTGTGGAAATGTCTGCCAAAATCTGCTCTTTCAAGCTCCCACACTGTTTTAGAAATGGCAATAAATCGTCGAGTTTCTGGCAAACGAAAACAGTGACGGGTGGGTAACGGTCAGCGAAGCTTCTGAACAAGTCCACCCACAACTACCGCCCGATTCGCCGACATGAATAACTCGGCGTGCTAATTTAAAAACAAGTTATTATTCTTCAAATAGAATCAGACTAGAAGGCTCCTTATCTCCACTTGACCCAATTAGACCCTGGGGAAAGTTAGAATTAGAAACTTGCTCGAGCGATGCTATCTTCCAACCTTGGGAATTATAGAGAAAAAGAAAAATTTAGTGCCTTTATCTTAAATGCACCGAGAAAAATTTAGTACAGCTCTGTACTACATATGGCTGTGTATTTTCACTGAACTCTTACATGTTCTATCAATTTTCTAATGGAAACTTAGAGAATGTTTTTCAAAAACAGTAGCAAAATAAAAATAAATATACAGTTTATCTGTATTAAAGACAATTTTCTTTTGGTGTATAGTTTGATTAATTCTCATCAAATGTTAGTTTGTCCTAAAAGACGATTACAGATTTGATAACATATAAGTTCATAATCCTTAACTTTTTCACTTATTGCTCATAAAATATTGATAATATAAAATGTGGCACTTTATTGACACGACTCAGCCGTCAATGTCACGTGAATCCAGAATATATATAACGAGGACTACGAATAACAAACTGATGAGAAAGTCGTTTAATTATTACTGAAATTTAATGTAGTTTCATATGACGAAAAAACATCTCCAACAGAGGGATTACAATAAGGAACTCAAAGTTTACTCCAAATTTGGTTTGAGTTTCGCACAAAGCTACACGAGGGCTATTTGCGATGGCCGTCCTAATTTAGCAGTGAAAGGCAGCTAATCATCACCACCCACCGCCAACTCTTGGGCTACTCTTTTACCAACGAATAGTGGGATTGGTCGTAATATTATAACGCCTCCACGGCTGAAAGGATGGGTATGTTTGGACGGGGATTTGAACCCGCGACCCTCAGATTGCGAGTCAAGCGCCCTAGCCACCTGGCCATGCCGGGCCAAGTGTATTCCATTAGGTAATTAAACACAACAATCATTCTGCAGAATATATCTACGTTGGCTTAATAATAGAAAGAAAGTTAGAAATCGAAAAGTCAGACGACTATACTACGACCCTACCAAAGCAGTAAATATAAATTTAATAAAGGTTTGTTTACATTTTACTGCTAAACTATAAAAACAAACTTTTCTACGTTATTATTAAATATCTTAGAAAGTAATGTTGAGTGTATGTAGGATCAAGGTAAAATTTGAAGGATTGTTGTTCTTTGTCAAACATTCAGTACAGATAGTTATGCATTCAATATAAGAAAGAGAGTGACTCAAATTATTTATTTATTTTAAACGTTTATCCCATTTTTAACTTTTAAATGATATAGATAAAAAAGTTATTGTGCAACAGAATTGAAAACAATACCCTCAAGTTGTATTACAATCAAAGGATTTTAGTGCCCAATGAAATCCACAAATTGTATTAGAATTAAAGCATTGTCATGTCCACTAAAACCCAAAGTATATGCGAATTTTAAATACATAAACTTTATGTCTATAGATTTGCACTGAAACTTGCAGAGAAATCATGTGTTTTAACAGAAAGGTTGAATAAAGGTGTCCGTGTTATCGTCATATAATTACATTGCTATGTGACCTATACTCGAGGAACTTTGAAAGGGTGTGTCTTCTTGAAGCAAAGCCACAGCGAGCTATCTGCTGTGTCCACCGAGGGGAATCGAACCCATGATTCTAGCGTTGCAAATCCGAAGACTTACCGCTGTTCCACCGGGGGACAACTCTAAAAGGAGTCTAAACGATATAAAATTCAAGTTTAAAATGATTAACTTTTAAAATGATTATACTTGACTTACCAGACTAAAAGCTCACCGTAAATCTGATGCATTTAGTGATCAACCTACTGCACATAACTGTCTAACCCAATAACAGTCAAACTGTTAGTGTAACAAATCAACAGATATATAAATAATCTTACATTTTTACTGCGAAAAATATACTACTAAAATAATCTATGGGACTATCATATAAGTACTAACATAATTTGTATTTTAGAAATATATCTTATTAAGCTTCTACCGTTATTACTTTATCTTTATATAGCTGTGACTTAAAGTTGATGTGACTAAAATATGAAGTTAACCCACCTGTGATAAAGCTGATTATCAGACCAGAGATGAGGACAGAGAAGAATCCAATAGCACTGAACCACATGTACGAGATTCGGTATAGTGGAAAGACTTCAGCACTGAATAAAGAAAATAGTCATACTAGTATTTCATAGAAACAAATACTGCCCATTAAAGCCAGATTTGTAATACAGTTTAGGCTTGGTTCTCAGCACTCTCGCCTTGCTAGCCTAACCTATGTGATGTCAATATGACTGGCAATATTAGTTGATCAGTCTCCTCTAAATCATGTCTGGTGGCACTCAATCCAGAATCTAGTTATATATATTGGAACTATGGCATAAACTGGTGTTTCGAGTACGATGTATGTACTAAAATTATTTGCCCACACTACTTAAAGTTTGCTTAGGAAATAAAAATGTGGACATAGATGGGACTGGATCCTCGACCTCCCGCATACGAAGCGTGTGCTGTGCCATACGAGCCAAAGCCCAAAGATTTGTTCTTATACATGCAGCATTATTAAGTGGAATATTATATATATATGAGAAGGGTGTATGTTTTAAATAGACAAATCCTTTAAATAATGCTGTTGGTGTATTGTGTAACTGGACATGAATGAAAAAAAAAGAAACATGCTAGGTAGAATACGCAGTTCTTGCATTTAGATTTAAACTAAAGAAGTGAAATAACATGAAATGACTATAAAATAAATATATCTCTGTACACAACGTATTTTGTTTAAATACCTTATCTTTGTGGATAATCGCCATCTTTGACTAAGATCGTCAGATTTTTTCTTGATCGAACTCTTGATAAAGCAACTTTAGTAAATAGTAAATGTTTGTGATTATCATATCGAGAAATGTAAAAATCAACTGTCTTCGTCTGTCGCTATATCATTTCGTTTTCCTTTGATAATGGTATCAACCCTTTTTTACCCTCCTCTAAAGTATTAACAAAGCGTGGGTCCACTACCATCAATAACGTAAATGGTGTAATATTTCATTACCCTGGCTGGTAAACTCGTTTTTCGCGTACGAAGCCTATTTTAGGCGCCTGTATTGAGAATATTGGAAAGGTGTAATAGCTATAAAGTTGTAAATTTTTAATGTTATGGTATCAAGAAGTGTCAAAACCCACTGCTGTTATGTTTTTTTTTCTTTTGTAGATTTATGGTGTGTGTGTATATGTGTCTAAATCGCATTTGTATATCATATGAAACCTGCAATTATTTTCTTTCGCTCAATGTGTCAGATGTAGAGCATCGAAAATGAATGAAGTTGTGGCAGTGATTATTAAATTGTATAGCGGATAAACTCATACTTCGCATATGAAGTGTATTTAAACTGTAGGCCAGCTGTCAATTTTTAGGCGCTTGTTTCAATTTGTATTGAAATATAATGGTATTGAGTTATTTATAAGGCACGGAAAGGTAAAGAATTGACTTAATGTGTTTCCTTGCGTGCTTGCTTATGTTAGAAAAGTAATTATATTCAAATATCATGTTATAAAGATCGTAGTTTTGCACTCGTATAAACGTATAGAAGTATCATTGTAAAATTAGTCAATAGAAATACTGGGTTTCCATGGGAACTAGCACGCATACATGCACGGACTGACCGACACACATTGTTATTTTAATTACATGGATGCTTTCTGATTCCAATGGAGAGACATCTAGTACCAATTAGGGCAAGGACACTTATATTTTATTCTGAAATGATTCAGAGTTAGAACAGCATCTTTAGAAACTAAAAAAAAGTAGTTTTTGGGCAGTGTGCAACCAGTGATTAGTGTGTTAGGTTGAAATCCGGAGGGTTCAAGGTTTATGCTACGATGCTGTTGAACACGCTCCCCATTTTCAGCTGTATGTATATTATAATAATAACAATCAATCCAGGACGTTATTTGCTTCATAAGTGGACAAATTCCTTATGGTGACGGGTGCTGCTGGTTGGTTGTCTTCTATGTGCTAAGTAATAGGGACAGCTATATTTTAACTTTAGAAGTGTTTGAATTTCTATTTAGCCTATATGCGCACGTGTCATACAGATTGAAACTACAAGTACGATAGTCTCACTGGGAAGTTACAGTTTTCTTTGCATTCAAAACATGACATCTCTTCGGGACACAATTCTTCTTGATTTTCTCCCCTTTTCAGAAAGACCCAACCTTCTATTTTACGACTAAAGGGAAGGGACCAATCGATTTGTGAAATTATGACAAACAAACACTTGTTGTTTTGTCACTTTACTTATTAAAGTTTATCAACCAATTGACATTTGTTGTCAATGAGTTTACGAAAAATAAGTTATTGTTTTTTTTAATATATAGTATTTTTGTAATAATTTTATATTTTACCACCAAAACTAGTACCATAACAAACAAGCCTAAAAAACACCGCCAACATCGACATAATAAATATGTCTTATAGCAATCTGTAGCGTATCCATTTTTCAACTTATATTCAGAAATAGTTTTGTGTTCAAAGTTTAATGGCTTATTCGTTGGTTTGTATTTACCTTTAGCAGTTTAAAAATCCAGAGAGACGCTATACAAGAATTAACAGTTTTCTATTGCCTATTATCTTAGAACAGTATCAACAGCAGATTATATATATTTATATATACTTGAAATCGTGTAGTATAACACAAACAGATAATAGACATAATATCGATTGGAGCACACAAAAAATGATAAAATTTCAGAAAGATAACTGTGGTAATACAACCACAAAGTGTTGGGTTTATATCTGAAACTCAGGTGAACGACTAATCACTTAAGAAACAGCTGAATAGGAGTTAAAGCTTAAAAGCGCAACCTATCAAGTTTTAACTATCGCCCTTTCGTTTTAAGTTTTGACTACCGCCTTTGTCCCTGTGGTATCCTTTCATTTTAGGATTGTAATAATCAAACTTGTATTTAAATATTTGCTTCGTATACATATATAAGTTTTCTATCCTTCTTAGATAGTATCAGCGTATTGAACCATTTTCAATTTTAGTTATAATATCATTTTTATCTTACACTGACCAACCACTTTTTAAGACCTTTCTACATTAGTTATTTGCAAGTACAAAGATAAGCTGATCACGTGACGTGTCAAATGAGTGCTTGGCTCTTAAGGATGTAGTTATATCATACTTACTTCGCAGGATCATGGGTAGGAGCATTAATGTTATTATGTTTTCTTTGGTTTTTTTTCAAAAGGGACTTAATAATTGATGCCTGTCTAGCAGGACTATAGTATCATAGGTGTTTTGTTTTACTAGCTGTTCAAAGGCATCTGCCTATCAATACTGACTGTTACTACCAAAAGTTTTTGATTGACGAAAAAGATAACGATCAAGCTTGTAAGGTATAGCAGACGACACAGAGTATCCCAATTGAATGATTCCTCCAACAGTGATCAGAATTCGATTTTCGTCATCAATATTATTTAACGAACACCAAATATTGCAGTCATCAAGTAATCCAAAACTCGAAGCTCATCTCAGATCCAAACAGTGGTATATATAAAAGGTATGTATAATGAATAACTGAAGGAGTGGGATATGGCCTGATGAGTTGTGTTTTATTCTTTTACGTACTATCGGTAAAGATATGGGGGTAAAGCACACGAAGCACTCGACTAGGCTTGTGCTATCTCAACAATGAAACTGTTTGCTGAAAATGGTGTAATGGAACAGAGGATGGGTGATTAACGTATTACACCTCAATAGTATTACTAACTACGTCCAGTCCCTAATCCTGCATTTCCACGCCGATGGAGAAGGGGTATTGCTATGATGACAATGCAGTAAATCACTGAGATGGTTTTTTGAAATTCTCTCAAAGAGCATAACTGTAATGTCAGTAATTTTCTTTGATCAATACAGTCTCCAGTTCCGTTGGCGTACAATTCTCTGCCAACATCTATGAACTATATAATTCTTGACACTTAGTCTGTGGTCATACTAAACACTTTCCAGCATCTGGTTCTATACACACCGAGTCGAGACTATTATATCTTTGAAAATGGGAATCAACCCATCATCAGGTAGAGTCACTAATAAAGTGTCTATTCACTATGTATCTTACATTCCGTAAGACGCGGAAAACGAAGCTCATATAAATAAAGTTAACGTGCAAGTCTAAATCAAAGTGCAGACTATAATGCTATGTCAAACTTACAATTTCGATTTTGTGAGGGGGCGTCACTTAATTATTGTAGTTAAAAATATCGATTTTAAACTTTCCTGCTCTTAATTAAAGAAGAAGTTTGCGGAAATAGGCCCACGATAATGATCAGGGATTACCCAATTATATTAAAATCAAAATTAATTGAAGCACCGACACTGAGCTCTTATTTTTTGAAGTAGAACTATTTATAGCCTTCAACTTAAAATTTTCTAAGCTTTTAGTTCCATTTAATAGGTCGCACTTTATAGAAGGTCAAAACCACTTTATGATTTTGAACCAATGGTTTTATCTGTGCTTTTGCAAATTTCAATAAAAACAACAATAAATGGAACTCATACTGTTTAGTGTGTGAATAAATATATAGATAATTTGCTATTAATATAGCATCATAGTTCTCGTTTCTGCTATATCTTCAGAGTTAGGTAAGACAAATTTCAATTATTTTTTCCCTATCTCGAAACACTATAACGGTTGTGAGCAATGAAAACAAAACGAAGTAAAAGCCTAGATATTATTATTAATTAATTAAGCTACTTGAAAGTACACGTCGGTGTTCTGCATTTACTAACCTTGCTGACGAGTGACAAAGTGCTGTAAAGTGTTTTCTAATATGGTGAGAATGTTCTGCATAATGTATGTTTTAACACTGATTGGATGTGTGTTTTAATGTCGTGAGGATGAATCTTTTATTATACGTAATTGAAATAAAATGTTTTGGTTAATTCACAGTTTCATTAAGTTCTTACGTTGTAACAACGTCACATTTGATATAATTTCATGTAATAATATCTAAAACAAAAGCCTTTAAAAACAGAATGTGTATCAAAGTTTTTAAAAAATAACGAATATAAATATATATATATATATATATATATATATATATATATACATTTGAATAAATCTGTAACAGTATCATATATATACCATATAACACAGATATTATGCTAACGGGAACCTACATAGGGTTAGCTCCTAAATCTTTTTAACTAAACCCTGTCCTTACTCATATTCTTAGTGTTGTTTTTATGTAAAAAACTACAATTATGCAAACCCGTTTTGCAAAAAACAACACAAAAACTACATTCCCTGTTATGATTCATTATAAATATCCATAGTTTGGCTCAAAACTAGTAATAAAAGGTGTGTACGTGGTGATTGTCTAAAATTATAATTTTTCAAATGTTTGTTTAGCTTTTTCTTATCTTTTCTTATTATTTTCTTTATCTTAAGCCTTTGTATGAGTTTAAGGCAAGAAAAAGTTACGATTAATGTCCATCTAGCAACTAGATTTGCCATTGGCTCCTCCATCCACTTAAGGGATGCTTGAGTCAAACCTGTAAAATTTATGTTTTAGTTTTTGACGTGTTTAGGGTTCTATTCCTTACAGAATTGGAACTTCTAAGTTTTCTGTTGTAATCATAACTACCATGTTTTATGCTTACGGAGGCTGTACATAAGATTCTTACTTGTGAATTTCTGGAGCAACAGTTGTTGGAAGAGTATGATTTCCTAAACATCCGTCGACCGAAACTGGCGCTCTAGGAATCAGCGGCTTTTGGATAAAAGCTCCAAACCCCACCCAGAACGAGATGCTCAGACCAGTTAGTAGTCCACCACCCGCTCCCTGGTGACCGGAGAATACAACTATGAAACTAAAGCTAAATGAATAAAATATACCAAACACTAATATATACATAAATGTATATACATATATACGTATATTAAGTTTCAGTATTATTGCTTATTGTTTGTTTCACTGATTAAATATTCGCACTCAAGTAAAACTTGCAACAGGGGCGAAAAACGAAATTAGGGTTAGCATTTTGGATTTTTTTATTGCTTAACCCAAAACAAATATTGATAAAATATATATCAAAACAAAATTATAAACTAAACTGGTTAATTGTATTTTTATTTCGTAGGAGTTATGAGGTGAAATGTCAGTCAGAAATGTTAAAAACGCAAGGATACCATTTGTCCTCATATAAATGGACGGACGTGGCCTAGTGGTTAGCGTGCTGACCTGTAGGACTGTGGAAACATGATTCTCATACAGTTTCCGCAAAAAGAAAAGAAAAGAAACGCGCTTCATAATTTTAAGTGTGGCGTGCGTTATAAGAGTAACGGTCAAATTCAACTATTTGATTAGGGTAGCGCAAGAGTTTCTGTTGACTAACTGCTTTTTTTATAGTATATTAGTTGAAAATTAGAGACGGTTAGCGCAGATAGCTCTTGTGTAATTTAGCGAGAATATCCGAAAACAAACTCTTTTAAAAATAGGAAGTACCAGGCTGGAAAGGTAGTGAAATAAGTCCCGCTACATAACATTGTATTAAACAGTTTATCATTCAACGTAAGTTACTATATCGTCTGAGGTCGCGCGTTCTAATTCATAAGCTAGTTTTGTATGGAACTTCCATGCCGTAATATATAACTATCGTATAGTCCAGTGAATCAGATGTTACGTCGTTTCAAAGCTGTGTTTTTTTATTCGATTATTTGCTGCATATGTCTACTACATTAAATTTTAAAATGTATTGGTGGAGATACCGTAATAATGCATACGTTAGTAAACACTCAGTTTTTTTCCCGTGGCATACTGAATGTATTTAAAGTCATTACTGTATTTTAGTAGGTTATAAATCAGATTAATTTTCGCAATAAACCTAAATTCCTCGATGAGTGTACAAAAATGTGATCAACCAGCAAACTGACCTTATTGTTAGTCCAGGGAAAAAACATTCCGAGTGTGAAGACACCAAGAAGTGGACCGCCTATCATTCCTCGAATACTCAATGTCGCCTTGAAAACAAAACAAAACAAGGTTTAATGTCAAATGCTTTCTTTTGATCGCAGTTTACAATATTGACTTAGAAAATAAGGATAATGATAATGCATGAAAAGAGTTAGCATCAAACATTTACTAAATAAAGAAGCATGAACAAGGTAAAAAGTATATTAATAAAATGGAAACTAGATGCTCAAAATTAATTTTTTTTAAAGTTTTCTAAAGTCAGGCAACATTGCATTAAAAAAAAACCTATATCGAAACAAATGGAAATGTAAGGTAAACATGTTATCAATTTGATGGGCAATATAGTTTTGAGTAATGAACAATGTAAATTTTGGTAAACACAGGTCTCTTCTCCTTATATCTAAATTATAGAACAAGATGTAAAACTATGTAAATCTAACGAGTTGATTGTCAGGAATATGCAGTGGTTTATGTAACTTGAGAATGTTAGTTTTTCACTTTCATTCCCCCTTTTTTTGTTTGTAGTAAGATTGTTTAGAATAAATACTTATTGGATAGTAGCAAAAAAAAGTAAGCTCCACGACAAATGTCTGCCCGCGTTGAAGAATCCACCAACGAGTATTTCTTTCTGAAGTGACTCTGATAAACAGGTATGTATAGTAACATGGAAACTCAAGCAGAGGTTGGCCATCTAGTCAGGATAAGTTTGCGTTCCGTTTGAAAGCCATCTTTTTTATATGACTCAGTAACGCTTCATGTGAAACACAAAACATGGAATAATTCTAACCATATACATTATAATTCACACCATCGTGTTAAACATATATAAGTGAATATAATAAGTCATTTTTTTTTCTTGTATGAAATGCAGTTCTAAAATAAGTTTGGCTGTCAAAACGTTTATATTACACTTATTTTTATTTTATTGTGAATTTAGTTAATACAATTCTTTCGCACATATTTAAAGCATTAGTAAGCGGATATGTATTCAGATGTAAGTTGCGTTTTTAAAATGTTCGTAATAAGATCGCAGTTGCGTATTGTGTGGTAATAAGTTATAAAGTAGAGTGTAAAAATTCGTTGCGTATTTTAGTCCACAAAATGACATACAGCACTAGTTTCCAATGCTCTCTGGTGTTTGATTTATAAATAGGAAACGTGATTATTACACTAAAGTAAGTCTTTACCAAATAGAAGGTGGTTTGTTTTACTGCTTCGAAAAAACATGGATACCAAACAGGTCCACACACTGAACTTATCCTAGATAACTTTGATTTTTTACTCTAATTTTGCTGTGTTATTTTTGAGTAAGTGTTAGCAGAAGTTAAGACAAAAAAACACAAAAAAACAGTCCAAATTTATAAGAGGATATTTACTTACCTGAAGTACGTTTCCTAGTTCTTTTGCAACAACCACTAGAATGATAGTAATAATACCATAGACCAGGGCTGTTTAGAAAAAAATTTCGAAGTTACTAAAAATTAAAGTGAATACGGAAAATTTCGGTTTTTAACCTCTGAGATTGAAAATAAGAAGCAATAGCATTATTCTGATCACTTTATTATGCATGTTATAAGTCCTGAAGTATTTCTGCGATTAACCTTTATTCGCAAATATCACAAACAAACCGTAACCCGAACTAAACAAGCAAACAAACAAACTAGTGGAGCAGGTGTTAGCGGGTCACGCCCACAACGACCCACATATAAAAATAACATTCTCTACCGTTTTGCAGCCACTTGTGGGAAGGCTTAGTTGCTCCTAATGAAAAAATTAAAACTTCCTGAAATTGGCACTCAAGCCCCATGTTTATCTCATACCTCTATAATGAAATCTGCGATGGATAGGTCAGTAAATAATACTATACAAATACATAAAAAATGTATCTTTTCTAATCCCAATAACGTAACAGATCATCCTGATTATTACGTTGTTATTTAAATACCTGTAATATATATTATCTAACACGCCTGTGCTAATCGATAACTAATGGTATAATTGAAGTACACTACATTAAGAATGTTAATGTCCTGCAACCTGTTTTAAAGTCTTTTTTATTATCCTTTTATAATTTTTATAAGATTACTCTTGAATATGTTAAAATCACGTTGTTGGAGATCATTGTACGTAAGTTTTATAACTAAAAGATCAATATTAGATAGAAAATATTTTTGTTTGTTACAACTTTTGCAGTATTTAAATAATTGACAAATTATTGCATTCTTTATGTGAAGGAAGTTAAGCAATTTAGAACGAACAAACTTTAACATTTGTCTTCGTTATTCGTATCAGTTCAACTTGATATATAATAGTAATACAGTTAATAATACTCCGAATATATTTGTATCAAAAAGGACTAGGATAATAAATAGTCCTCTCGTGGCTCGATTTATAATGTTAAAATTCAGGGTTGCTAACCCAATGTGTAGGTTAAATCAAGAAACCAAACAAAGATATAACAAATAGGTTTAACGTAACATAATTCAGCATTATGCTATGTAAATGAATGACTAATTTACCTCGCTCTTGAGTCACAACAGTTTTAAGATTATTTATGATACTTTACAAATAAAAAAATAATAATTAAAAGTTCATTTATATCAAATTTTGGCTATAAGCCAAATGAGAAATACACCAACAAAAACCTTAAAACAGAACAAAGCCAATAATTGCATACTGTTATTACTTAAGGTTATGGGTTGTCAGGTAAAACAAATTTGAAAAGCATATATATGAGATGGGCTGACTCTCCTCCAGACATTATTCTTACTACCATGAAATACCTGCGCTCCGCTGCAGGGTTCAAAGAATCCCTCATAATTCACAGAGGCAAGTGTATGATTAAGCTCCTCAATTATCCACAATTACTTTTAAAGATACCTAAAAGGATGGGGGTCCGTACCCGAAAGTAAACCCAATAAACACACTCGCCCATGGTACTTTGATCGGCGTGCCATATTTAATTATGCTAGCTAGTTTCAAACATGGCACCACAGACATCCAGAGGGAGAGAGAGAAGGTCAGGAAAACAAAATTCGATACTAGATTCGGGTTCAGCGATCACGAGTACATATTTCTAGACCCCTATCACGACTTGATAGCTTTCCGAATGCGTTTTAGGGGTTGGGAAAGGTTCTACGCCATATAGATAAGATCACCTCCTGGGCTATCCCGAATTTGCCTGCCACGTTTGGTCCTACAAATTCCAAAGCTGTGCTTAGAGTTTGCCTACAAACAAACACAAACACAACGTGAATGAATATACGATGGTAAACATGCTTTATTTCCTGTGAAAAATTCTAGATGTTTTAATACATTCATAAGCAAACTCTAACGGAAAATATAATAGATCCACAAATCTCACAATTATATAAAAAAAACCACCTACCCAAAAAACCTCCCAGTGGCACAGCGGTATGTCTACGGACTTACAATGCTAGAAACCGGGTTTCGATACCCGTGGTGGGCAGAGCACAGATAGCCCATTGTGTAGTTTGTGCTTAACTACAAACAACGAAACCTACCAAGAAATTATAAAGTATTTTAAAAGACTTAGTTTCTATCAATGTTTCGATACCCGTGGTGGGCAGAGCACAGATAGCCCATTGTGTAGTTTGTGCTTAACTACAAACAACGAAACCTACCAAGAAATTATAAAGTATTTTAAAAGACTTAGTTTCTATCAATGTATCTTAATTACTATTTATCTTACCGGCATTTTATTAAAATAGTGGATGCTCAATAGAAAACAGCACGAAATTATTGGAGTACAAAAAACTTTGTGCATTAAAATAGTAAATATTCAACGATGTTGTTTTCTTAGTGCAAAGTTACACAATGAATCATCTGTTGCACAACTAGGAATCTAGCTCCGATCTTTGCTGTGTAAGTCCGTAGACTTACCGCTTACCCACCTGAGGGTTAAACTAGTTTGAATGAAAAAAAAAACATCTTATCGTTTTTCAAACGACACCCCTGATAGAGACGCTTAATATCCACCTTCTTTTAAAGTCAGATAGCCCTTTTACATACTAATCATAATTTGACTAAGTCTTTACATCACATGACATACCACATAACTCTATTTCGCAAATGTATGTGAAAGTTTGTTTGTTTGTAGTTAAGCACAAAGCTACAAAATGAGCTATCTGTGCTCTTCCCACCACGTGTATCGAAACCCGGTTTCTAGCTTTGTAAGTCCGCTGTGCCACTGGGGGGCGTATGTGAAATGGTCCTAGTAAAGTAAGCAGTTAGAGCACGTGCGTTTGCATGTTCTGAAAGTTACTAAAATTATAACACAAACATTACTAGAGCAATGACAAATAAAAAAGTCACTTGGAGACCAGCTAAAAATTTCATAAGAAACATAAGGTATAGCTCGCAAGATAAAATAATTTTTAACCGAAGGAAGGGTAACTTAACTTCCTTTTACTAATATGTCTCTAAATATTTAAGAACCGAAACTGCATAGTAAAAATTTAAATTAATCAGATAATGCTAATTACGCAACAGTCTTTAAAACATCATTATAATATAAAAACAGTCATTTTTCAAAAAATGCTTTGAGTGGTAGCTTGTTAATATTTTCTCTTTGTTTATTTAAATTCTTATTTGTTTAGTTGTCAAGCGCAAACCTGCACAATGGTCTTCTTGTTCTGTGATCATCACGAATATCGAAATCCGATTTTTGGCGTTATAAGTCCTTAAACTTTGTTAGATATACGCGACTACTTCAATTTAATTTAGATGAGAGTGTTAAATTTAGTTATGTTTAGAAGTGATAGCTTATCGCAGGTTTCTTTACGTAACTGTCTACTAGTCATACGTTGTGTAGTTCCACTGTTATGAATTGACGCTTGTTGTATGATTGCGTCACGTTACTAGAACCTTCTAAATTTTTCTCGTTGTTTTGATTGTGTATATATTATTGTATCATAATATTTCGTAGTGTGTAGAATGTTCCATGCCTAGATAAGGCTGTAATACGCGTACAAAATGTAGTTCGAGTTCGTTAGATAGGTAGTTAGATCTGACTACATGATTGTGAGTTTAGCCATGAAGGTCATATAGTGGAGATTTTTAAAGTAAAATTATCATAGATTGTATTGTAATAACAGAGTATATAAGAATAATTTGCCTTGTCAGTTGTATTCTAAAGTAATTGAACCATTCTGCGTGGACTTTGACGAAAAGAGACAATTACTTAAAGCTCTGGATACAAACAACTGTGGCACTTAAGAATGTAACAAACATTTGTATATACGTTTGACTTGTTTTATATTATTTTAATACAAGTGCACTGTGTAATGTTTGTTTATTGTTGAAACTTATCGCTAAAAAAGTTACAGAAACCTACTGTAAATAATCCGGCCCACACTTATATAAAAACCTAAAAGACATCTTCTGAGTCACTGGGAGGGGAGTTTATTTTAATCAAATAAGTCCTATTATTCACATATTACAATACTAACCAAGTATTTTCGTGAGACGGGCAGCCCAAAGTTCTGAAAGATCATTTCTGATGTATGTTTTAATAAAGTCCTCCAATGTCACAGCTGCCAAAGAATTAACTCCTGAAGATACTGTGCTAAAATCAAAACAAAAACTTGGTATTAAACAGTACTAACAAAGCCGCACATCAAGCTGTAATAAAAAAATCCTCCCAGTGAGACAAACTCAAATGTCTAAAGTAATATTGTGAATATATTCAATTTTACGAAGACCATTATTTTTTCTTTTGTACATACAGATGTCTTACTTTAAATGTTTATTAGTATAAATTGAAAGAAAAAATTATCCGTAAAGCTCACATCTCGAAAAGTGTTTTCAAAAAGAGAAAGACATATCAAAACGTTTCTGAGCTCTATACAAGTTTAATGAACGGAATATTTAGAAATGTACTTTTCCGCAGATGCAGAGCAAACTAAACTCACTAGCTAAGCTAGCTTACTACATAGACTCACTATCTTACCTGAGAGCTCCACTGAAAACACCGGCTACAAAAAGTCCAGGAAGACCAGGCAAAAAACCAAGGACGTCCATAACGTATAAGGGAAAGAGCTAAAAATAGAATAAATGTTTTCCCAAAGATGTAGGTACAATACTGGACAATATACAAGTATAGAAGGAGAAGTATAGCTTGTCTGTGAATTAGCTTAGTTCTTGGCATATGATTTCATCAGTGGCTTAAGTGTGCCCCCGCAGTCCCCGCAATTTGCAGAAGGAGGGGAAACCGAAGGAAGCCCAAAGGACCTGACAAACTTAAGAATTATCCACAAGAGGAACAAATGTAGAGGACTCAACTTCTTTTTATGTATTTGTGTGTGTGGGGCATCTTTTGTAGTTACGCCATTGGATTTAATCCTGAGGTGGAAACGGCTGTGGGCATTGTCGTTGCTAGTCTAAAATATTAATAAAGTTTCTATATGCTGTACTTGTGTGATTTTAAAGGACAATATGCTAAAGGAAAAGTTGATATATACCAAAAGATGCATTACAGTTAGAATATGAACTTCTGATTGCCAGAAACTTTGGAATGTCAAAGGTTAAAAAAACTTAAAAGTATACAAGAATAGATATAGTCAACAGTGCTTAGCAATTACCAACCAGTCCAAAATTAGCCCATCACGATAATTTTAATATATAAACTCTTAAAAAATATTAAATAAATATAATTAAAATACTTGTAATTCTTACATTAAATGTTTTCATTGTGGTTTCGCGCTATAATGTGATACCAACAATAAAGTGTTTGAAAAATCGTAAATAAATTGTTAAATTTGATTGTGGAAAAATGTTCGGATCATTCATTGTTTAAAAATATTGCGCCTTTCATCTTTTCTCGAGGAAAACTACCTCACCAGTTTTTGATTTCATTCAGTTTGTTTGTTTGTTTTGAATTTCGCGCAAAGCTACACGAGAGCTATCTGCGCTAGCCGTCCCTAATTTAACAGTGTAAGACTAGAGGGAATGCAGTT